AAGAAGGTTCCTTCTTTGCAAATTGTCTCGTTCGTGCTGTCGTTCACGCTGTTTTCACCGGGGAGGGGGGGAGGGGGTGGCGCTCCAAGTGACTGAATCCAATGTCCATAGACTTCCCCCACAAAGGTTCCTTGTGTCTGCAGGATCGCAGCTGCACGTCATCTGCAGTATCTGTGACTCATGGATCGTTGAGTGTCATATTGTGCTTCATTTCATCTGGGCAATGTGCAAAATTCAAGAACCCCACAAGAAACCCCCCAGGCATCATGGGTGAAGTTCATTTCCACCCCAAACGAGCGAGCACTCGTCTACCCTCTTTCCAACAATCATGGAAGTGCACAAAGGGGTTCCCCAAAAGGAAAATGGTCTTCCAAAGCTCCCCAATAGGAAGGGAATGTTCTCCCTCCCCAAAATGGCTCCCCTAATAATATCCCTCCCCAAGAGGAAAATGTCTTCCTCAACTTCCATGATTGTTGGAGGGAGGGTATCTTTTTTTGGCAGCTGTGCAGTTCGGATTTCCTCTGACTTGAAAACGGCCTGAAGAAGTGAACCGGCGAGAGGTAGCATGCAAAAAAAAAAAACTCGAAGAACTAAAAAAGGTCAGCCTTTGCTTGGCTGGAAAAAAGGGACCCAGCAAAAAAAAACAATTGTTTTGCCTGGTTGGTGGAAAACAAAGGGGACCCCAAAAAAGCAAAAAAGGGAAAAGGGGAGCTAAGTCTGGGGAAGTTTGGTCTGGCAATGCTCCAAGGTTGTCTTCACTCGCATGGCGAACGCATCATTCACACTTTCAAAAAGCTGAGACCCGGAAACCCAGGTCAAACCATCTAGAAAGAAATCAGGCCTTATACCCTACCAGCTAACATGGAAGTGCACAGACCCCTTTGCTCTTGCAAAGGGCCTTTATGCACTTCCATGTTAGTTGGTGGGAGGGCTTCTTTGGCAACCACCCTGTTGTTGGTCGCGACTGGAACGTGTATTTTGGGGAGTGGCAGGCCTTGACCTGCTCAGAAGGCCACTTCAAGGGTTTTGGGACGGTTCATTCAAAGCCATGCAACACATTTCGTGACATAAACGAAAATATGTAAATCAAAGATGTTAGATGTTGACAGAGATATACGCGAAAAAAAAAAAAAAAAAAAAAAAAAAACAGCGAAGCAGGTAACTAGCAAGGCTCAGAATGGCCAACACCGAACCCTCATCATGGGCTTATCATTGATCGGTCGCAAACAACAACACGGTGGGGCGCGATCTCAGTCCAATGTGGAACCTTCATGTTGCCCATATTTCCCTGGCTACGGGAAATCAACACCCCTACGGATGCTTGAGCTCCATCCCCAAGATCCAGGAGGAAGCCAACGACCCATTTCGAGTCTGCTGCCCCGGTCGTTGCCCGCCCTCAATTCCCCACAAACTCTCCTTGGTGCAGTCAGCCAGCAGCGACACCGCCCTCAGCAAGCGAGCGTGTTTGGGGACCGAATCTGGAATGAGGAAATGACCCCTACAAACCATCCCCTATGGTTTCATTTCAGGGAATTCCCAGGTGCATTCCCTCATTCCCTACTGAGCACCAGCAAGGTTACCCGCCCTAGCTGGTAAGCAATTATATCTTCCTTTTTGCCCTCAAGCGGCGATTGCCTTGGTTGCCTACTACGCAGGTGAACGAATCTACTGGGCACATAAAACAAGCAAGATGGCGGCCAAACGTTTGGGGAAGGTCCCCTGATTCTTTATCGATAGCAGAACGTTAAAAGGCGTTCTTCTTCTCACATTCTTCGTTTCTTTATCTTTCCAAACCTTCATATTGTGACGGTTACAATCTCCAGAATTGATACTCAAAACTAGTAATCAAGCTTTTGTGTAATGAATCTTCTTCTTATGTTTTGGTCACACTTCTTTTGCGAATTACGACTTCAGGCAGCAAAATCATTTCCGTGTTCCCACCAGGTACGAATTCCTACTCCGGGAACGAACCCAGGTGAACGAGTCAACCAGGCAAATTTGAGATTTTGGATGTTTGGACATTGGAGAGGGGGAGGCGTTCTGGGACAAATCCGGGGAAGGGGTTGGGAATGGGGTTTGGCGACAAAAAACATGCCAACAACAGTGATTTACATCCAAAGATATCCAAAGGCACACTATGCGCACACTTCCACACGAAAAATATGATATGCTATGCACGTGGTGTTTGCCTTGGGCAAATAGATCTCGTGGACCTCTTTGACAGGCATGGCCAAGTGGTTCATAACTCCCCACCCCATCGCCAACTCTTCTTAAACCAGCGCAAAAGGTCGTGATGTTTACCCTCTTTCAACAATGGAAGTGAGCCAGGGGGGCTTTGGAGGACTATCGTGAAAGAGCCCCTTGCCCACTTCCAGCATTGCTGGGAAAAGGGCGATTTCCAGTGTTGGACCAAAAACAGATATGATGTTCTCACGGTTGTCAGAAAGGGAAGTAGTAAATCCCGCAACTTCCACTGGGGATATGTTGAAATCGACGCCATGCGAGACCTCATGCACCAAGCGGCCCCGAGGCGAACGCGCAAAGGGACGCGTAGAGGGATGTCTCTATGATGACCTCAGACGTTTCACGGGCAAGACTTGTGCCCGGGCCCTGGCCTTGGCTTGCTTAAGCGGTTCGAAACCCAGTAGCCCCTTATTTGGTTTGTTTTGTGTTGCGGTGTGTTTGACCATTTTACAGGGAAAACAAAAGGAAAGCCACTTTCCCCTTCTGAGACAGACCCATCCGGTCAGGGTCCATACCCCACACCCTTCCTCCAACAATGGCCGCTGACTGTTGTTGAGGAATTGATCTCCAGGTGCCCTTGCACTTGGCGCTATGTTTGTGGGGAGGGTAGATTCCCTCAGAAAAAGTCCAAACTTTCCGTATGCCACCAAAATGGTCCAAACCCTTACTAGGTCCTCCTGGAGAGAGGTTAGAATAAGCGTACGGGCACTACTGGGGGACCTAGCTAAAGTAAAGTCTATGAACATAGGAAGTGTGCTCCATTTCAACCAAGGTTCCCCAAACGACAACCCCATACCCAAAACGAGCTGCTGCTGCGGGCTGCAGCCTTCGCAGCCGCTGTTTGAGCCGCTGCCTGCATTTCTGTTCGGACGGACGAGTCTGGGCGAACGCGAATGATATGAGAAACATGAGTCGGTTTGGACCCCAACATACTGTGGATGGTTGCGCAATCCATTTCGCACCACCTAGGAAACCCTGGAATGATTCCCCTGTAAAAGCCAATGAACAATGGTTTCCCCTGGTTTCCAAGTGGTGCAGGATTTCGTCCATCCACTGTGGGGGGACCCCCATGATATGAAGTTTGACTCTCTATGTGGCTCCTCAAAATAGGGGAACTGGGATCCCTTGAAATGGGCGGGCTTTTCTTTTAAACTCACCAAGGAAACTCACCTATACCAATCCAAACAAACGGAGGTATGCGGAGTCCTGAAGGAGAATATATCCTTTACATAGTGGCTACTTCAGCTTCCTCTTGGTTGGTGGTTTGGATTGGTGGTTTGCTGGTGAGTTGGGAGGGGCTTCCCATTTCTACAAGCAACAGGATTCAAATCCCTAAACCAAACCACCCACCAAAAAGCATGGGCCAAACAGGTGCATAAACCCAACAATTGGACATGCGCGGAGCCCTGGGGTATATACCCTTTACGTAGCGGCCAGTGAGCGGTTTCTATCAAGGTTCAAATCCAAAACCAAGCCGCCTATCACACCCACCAATCAGAATCTACCTGACCTTACCCATTTGCCTTCCTTGGTTGCCTGACGAGTGGTTTGGCCCATACAACCAAAAAAACTGGGGGGTCCTTGCTCCTCAAAAAAAAACCTTGGACGCAACCCGAACCCCGCGCGAAACCGAACCCTTCGGGAAAAAAAGGAAAGGAAAACAAATCGGGGGAGAAACCAAAAAACGAAAACGGCGAAACCCCTGACCTCGCCAGGGCAAGGCCCAGCATGCCGCGGGTGTGCAGCGAGGTGAGAACCCCCACCACAGCGCTGAGCGCCACGAAGATGGGCACGTCGCCTCGAAGAAGAAAAAAAACGACCCAACGCCCAGCAGACTTTAGACCATAGGTGTCCTTTTGGGGAAATAGATGGCCTTGCTAAATGAAACAATACCAATCCAAACCAGTGGAACGCATATATTTCTAGGGTTCGGGGTTTAGGGATTGTCCAAAGGGCAGTGGTTGGGGCCTGGGTGCTCGGCTTTTGGGTCTAAAGCATAGGTGTCCTTTCTAGGTGAGTTTGCTTAGACCCTACACCCTGGATTACAAAGCAGATGGGAATTCGAATTGGGTGACACAAGACTTGCTGGTTCGATGAGCATGACATCCCTTGCGGCTTCGGGGATCCGTTTGTTTTCGGGCTGATTGCTCAAGGGATGAGCTTTCAGTTGGCCTGTGCGAAGGGAGCCTAAGCTGGTACAGCTAGGTCCTCCAGAGAGCTTAGAATAAGCGTACCCGATTTTTTTTTTCAGTTTTGTCTATTTTAGTAGGGGAACGAATCTCCCCCCAAAAAGAAAGTTGGTAAAAGTTGGCACTGGGGGACCTAGACAGGAACCGCTTTACCTTACCATCACCCTTCCCACTCACAGCATGGGGATCGAGCCAAGATCAAACTTTCCTCTTTGGGGTCCTTGGCCAGCAGGAGCCTCACAACGTGGGAAGGCAAGGTATGGCTCAGACCCGCGCCAAAATTTGCTGGCTCTTGGGGTGGCAGGGAAAACAAACCTAAAAACCACCCCGAATGGTTTCCTTGAGGATCCAATGGTTTCATTCTTCCCTAGTACCCTTCCCCATACCATCCCTAGTTGCCCTCCCTATACCATATCCCTAGACTCCTGAACAAAATGTCACGATTCCTGTTCCAAACGTAGGTGGTTTTTTGGACAAACAGATGGGTTTCCTCGCAAATGGATAGCATAGAACCCATCTAAACCAGTGTGTCACCAAACTAACCGATGAGAAGATACCCTGGGCTGTTCAACATGGAGTGTTGGCCAATCCTAAAATCCTTGGTTTAGACTTATTATTTTTGGACTTTTCATCAATATATCGATAAAATGCAGACTTGATATCAGACTTGTTCACCATGTTTTGAATATCTTCAAGCGTTCCATTCCAAGCTTCTTCCCATCGCCGCGATGTTTTTTCTCTCCCCGAGGCGCCCCAGTGCCAGGTCTTGTCTTGGGAGGTCTCGGCGTAGATCACGAACTCCGTGATCTCGGAGCCGGAGACGTAGCACAGGCCGTAGGAGATGATGGAGCCTGGGCGAGAAAATTTCTTCGCGACCGGCGAAACTCAGATGGCCGTTGGGTCAAACAAAAAATGTACCCAAGATGAAAGCCTGGTAAAAGGAGACATGGACTAAAAACATGGACGGGTCGCCGAGTGGCTTAAAATTTTGACCCACACCCAGATGGAAGGTGAAACATAGCTGGTACCCTCCCCCCAACTAACATGGAAGTGCAAAACCAAGAGGAAAGTAGTCTTTCTACAGGGCTCTGTGCACTTCCATGTTAGCTGGTGGGAGGGTAGGTGAAGGCGAAGATGGGCGTTCAATGGCTGGTGACTAGACGTAAGAGGAACGATGACAAATACAGAGTTTGGGTGAGAAGTGGCTAGGTGAAGGGGAGTACAACTAAGATGCCTAGGTATGGCCGGCAGGTGAAAGGTTTTTTGCAAGATGTGGATGGTGACCGGTGAAGGGGAGTGTGATGTAAAATGAAAGATGAAACATGTGCATCCTCCCAGCTTCAAATGGAACCGTTCGGAACGTCGGGGGATCGGTCCTGGTTTGGAGCATGTTTCTTCTAAAGAGACCCCGCAACGTCAGGTTCCATGTTTTTTTTTGGGAGGTGTTTGTTTGTTTCTCTGGAAAAGTGTACCTATATATGTATACTACAAGTATATACGTATATAGATGTATGTATGTACATATATATATATATATTCATGCGATCATTAGAGTGTTATAGATGTTGGATCCTGGGAGGTGTGATTATAAGTTGCATTTAGTGTTACCCGGAGAAAACCTGGCTTGAAAGCGGGGGTTATCATAGGAATGATTCAGTCCTAATGGATTCAATAGGGTTTAAGAGTAACTAAAGCCTAGTTTTAGGGGTCGGGTTCCCTCTTTGTCTTTTCAACCATAGAATATAGTGGATGTGCAATGATAGATGAAGGAAGGTAAGGTGAAAAAAGGGAATCAATGTGATAAGGGTCTTCACCGTAGTTTAAATATCCGAGCGAGCTCCATTTAAAACCTCCGAGGATGGAAGATAGCCAGAGAACAAAAGGGATGGTCCTGGTAAATCTCAGCCAACGGGAGGCTCTAACTCGCAAACCATAGATAGGGCTATATCGGAGGAAAGACGCGTACGAAGTTTCCATCCTTGGCTTCAATTTGTCTTTGGTTCTTTGGGTTGGCCTGAATTCGAAACCTGAATCAGTGGTGGCTTTAAACACCACCGTACTGTGAAGTGAGTCGTCTTGGGCATGACGGACAGGGTTGTTTTTGTTGAGAGAAGGTGGACTTTCACCCACGAGAACCCTGGGCCTAAGTTTGCTTGTAACACAACACGTGTGCCCTTTTCATGTTATTTTGTCGAAGGGAAATCCCGCAGCGCACTGGATTTCAAGCGTCGGGAAACCCCCCCCCCAAAAAAAAAAAAAACGAATGAAGGATGTCTTTCGTTTGGTTGGCTTGCTTTTAGCCATGCCCACGTCGGGGTATCCCAACATGTCCTGGCTTCCCTTGAAACCCAACCGGCAAGGGGCTTGAAATACAAAGGAGGCTTGGAAGTTGACGTTCTCAAAAAGAAACCGACTCTCAATTGACTTGTTGCCAGCCACCAGGACCCAAAAGAAAATCAAAATAAAAAACGTCGCACAGAACCGCACTTGGGCCCCAAAAGGAGGTACCCGTGTCCCCCAAAATCAATATCAATATGAAAAAAAAAAACCTACATGAACCCCAAAAAAGATGGGTATCTCCACGGCCAAGCCCGCAAAAGTCCCCTGAAGGCATGGCCCAAGTGGCCGAATGCCCCCCAAAATGCGGCATTTATATCTAAGGCTCAGAAGGCTCGAGGCGGTCAGTGTCCCCCACAAACCTGCTAATTTTTCAGCTTTGCTCTAATTGGTGCTTGGATTGGTGGCTTGCTGGCTGAGGGGTTTCGCTTCCCATCCCCTGTAATTCGTTCAAAACATATTCGTTTCAGAGGCACACACCCATCCACCATCCACCAAAAGTAATCCCTTGGCCCAAAACGTGTCAGACAAGGCCACTTCATTCGCTTAATTCCAGCCGAGATAAGAGAGCCATTTGGGTTCTGAGTCAAAACGGCGATAACAGAACACTGCTCATTGCCCCCCTTCCCCAAAGAAAAACAGTGAATAAATAAAAGTCCTTTATACGGAGCGGTTCCTCAACAAGGAACATGGTGCTGCCCAACTTTGCCCTTTAGACCTAAAAAAGGCACCCCCAAAGCAGTGACCAAAGCAGTGGGTCCCTTTATACGTTCCACAGCAACAAAACTATAACTAGTGCCCCCCCCCCCGGGACCCCAACAAAAACACAACTTCAAACCGAAGAGTTGCCAATCGCCAAAAACCTCCCCTCATCCACCAAAAACCCAGCTGCAACATACGCAGCCCTCAAGAACAAATTGCCCAATCGCCCCTCCCTCCCGTCCATTCAAGCCTCAGGAACCCTAGGGCTCTGACACAATGTTGACTTCGCATGAATCAACCCCTGTTTGTTAACTTGGCTGGAAACAAGGGACCCCAGCAAAAATAGATATTTCTTTTTTGCCTGGTGAGTGGAGAACAGAGGGAACCCAAAAAAAGCAAAAAAGCAAAAAGGGGAGCTAATTCTGGTGAAGTTAATAGGGGGGGTGCTTTTCCCTGGATTTCCGGAGAAAAAAAAAACACTTCTAGAAAGACAAACCACCCCCTATTCATAAACCGGTTGGTTGATTCCTAGGGATCAATACCCTCTCTGGGCTTACCCTCAAAACCTTTCCCCCCCCGGCCCCAAAAAGAAACCTTTCTTGGGCTCTGAACCCCAACCCCCAAAAAAAGGACCAAGGGAGCCTTAAAGCAACCGCCTAACCTCACCAAACGCAGACCTCACTCCACTCGCACCAATAAACCTCGACCCGGTCCTCCAGTAGAGAGGTTGGAATAAGGGTACCCGATGTTTTTTTGGTTTAGTCTATTTTAGTAGGGGAACCCAAAACCCACAAAAGTTAGTAAAAGGGCCCTACTGGGGTGCCCTGTTTTTTTATTTTTTTCTGTGGTCTATTTTAGGGGAGCCGAATCTCCCAACCAAAAACGAAAGGCGAACAGTTGGCGCCAATGGCTGGAGAAAAATTCCGCGAGCGTCGAGTCGAGCGGCAGAGCATGGTCGCCACGAAGACGCGGAAGGTGAGCTCCCCGGGCCAGGCCAAGGAGGTCACCTCCTCTCGGGGCGAGCGGCACGCCCGAGGACGCCCGAGGACGGCACCCAGAAAAACCACCACCAAACAAAAGGACACCTGCCGATCCAAACCTGAGGCTTATGGCTTACGCCTGGCTGACGGACGGGAAGGAATTTCCAAGCTCCCGGTGGAGGGGAAAAATTGCGAATGAGACTAGCGATTGGCTCAACACGCAGAGCAAAGAGGCTTACAATAAATGACAGGTATGGTAAGGCAGTTGATTGTGACTCAGGCCCTTTGATCTTTGTGCAGGCCCGTGAAGCCTCGAGAATTTGGGGAGCGAAAGCTCAGGATGGGATCCAAAGAAACTTCAAAGCAAGCCGGGCCACCGGCAAGGCAGGCTGGCAGCCAAGCAGACGGCAGCCAGCATCTGGGTGCGTCTTTTTCTGGTGGGGACCCCCCCTTTCAATCCACCGAATGCCAGCCGCCGAAAAATACAAGACGAGCCATCCAACAATCATGGGCCTTGGGGGGGAGGGAGGGAGCCCGAAATAAGCCCGAAATATGGCCTTATCAAGGGCTTAATAAGGGCATCTTTGGCTAGGTCCTCCAGTAGAGAGGTTATAAGGCTACCATCTTTTTCCTGTCTATTTTAGTAGGGGCACCGAATCTCCCAACCAAAAAAAAGAAAAAACGCTAAGAGTTGGCACCAATCGCCGGGGGACCTCGTTGGGCTCCCGCCCCCTCGCCTCGAACATGTAGAGCAAGCCGCCGAAAGGCGCGTTGAAGATCACCGCGATGGCGCAGGCGCCGCCCACCGTGCCTCTCGCTTGGTTCTCAGTTGGTTCGGTTGGTTCGGACCCCGAAAAGGAAAAAAAGAAAGAAGAACAGGCCGGTGATTAGTGGGGATAACCCAAAACCCAAGGCAGGAACAAACAGCAAGCGCTCCAGCTTATTGTTTCTTGAGTGGGGATGGCCCAAAACCAACGAAGGAACCAAAAGCAAACACTGTTACTTTATGGGAGATTCCAGCCCAACACCCCACAGAAAGATTCGTGTTTAAGGGGATCTAGTGGGTTGATTCCCAAAACGCGTCTTGCAACTCAGAACCAGTGGTTTCATTAACGGGGATCCCCCAAACGTTTCATTCCCGCACGCGTCGCTTCCTGAGAACCGCGCCTGGGGTCCCCAGTTTCGAACTTAGCAGGCAAAAACTAACAAAACGACCAAGTATATTTCATTGGTCGAAGATTGTTGTTCAAATCGTATATTATTGATGCATTGTAACTACTAATGGTTTAATATTAGGAATGGGTTAAAACTAGCTTTATGTAATAAATTCAATACTTCTAGTTGTACTGATATCTAGATGTTTATAGTTATGTATATGTACAGTATATATACATATATCATAGTTATGTTTCTATTACTATGTATATTCATATTTATATGTACATGCGTATTCGTGTTTATATTCATATGTATAGCTGCGTGTATATTTATGTTTCTATGTACAGACTACAACGGGGCTACGAAAATGTGATTGAAACACCAGGGGATTCAGAAAAAAAGAAGAAGAAACAAAGGTGCCTGGCACCTATCTGGACAACCTTTCACCTATATTCATGATTGGAGTATCGCCCAGGGCTGGGTGTGCCGTTTGAATCCAAGAAGAACACCAGGCCCTCAAGAAAGACTGAGAAAGCCTCGTTTACGCGAATCCAACAAACACACCTGGCGCCGAGGATGTCAATTCGAACGGGGTGAATTCAAGAGTCCAACAAGGAAGCCTAAAACAAAAACAGCCTGTCTGATTTCAACGCAAAAACACCGGCTCCCATTTTTGTAAGGTGCCCCGAATTGGTGTCATCCCTAACTACCATATCCAAACAAAAAGCTCCAAACAGGCTGTTCAAAGGTAATCATCTAGGGATATCCCTTCCAACCAGCAAGATGAGTTCTCCCAAATCCCGTTGGTGAAATCCCTAACTGCCATGTCCTCATGGAACTCATGGCGGCTCCAAAATTACTTTGTTTAAAGGGAAACTTGGAAACCCCCAACTCCCCAGCTGACTTCCACCCAATGGTTTTGTTCAAAGGGAAACTTGGAAACCCTCCCTTCCCACCATGACTAGACTCCAGCAGAGAGGTTAGAATAAGGCTACACACTTTTTTTCTGTCCATTTTAGTCGGGGAACCGAATCTCCCAACCAAAAAAGAAACGCTAAAAGTTGGCATGGACCGAAACCGAGGCGCAGGAGATGCGGGTGCTGTGCGCGAGGCGGTGCTCATCCACCAGCTCGCCCCGGTGCCCTTCCACCCTCACCTCGCTCGGAGAAAAAACAAACAAACAACAAACAGGCTGACCCCCCCCCCCGTGCCTTTGAGACACTTTTTTTTGAGGAAAAGGCTCCCCCATCTTGAAATCTTTGTTGGAGGAAAAGGCTCGTTGAAAAAAAAAGAACAGGCAGCTGCCTGCGTAATTATTTTTCTCAATCCCCCCGAAGAACTGAGAAGAAGTTATTGTTTTTCTTCTTCCGCTCTGTCTGCGCCCCTTGCTTTTTCACTTGAGTTCACCGAGGTTAATTCATGTGGAGAGGCATGGTGACCCTCTGGAAGGCAGTGGAAGAGGACCTTGGACAAAAATCCAGGCTGAACCCCCATCCCTTTGAAATTGCCATGGGTCATATGCAGAACCATTTTGGGGCGGAACCCATGTACCACCTATTTTGACGTTCAGGGGTACAGGGTTTTGACCCACAGCCAAATTTCGGTTGAGGAAAAGGCTCGTTGGCAAAAAGACATGTTGCCGCCTGGGTGTTTCTTTCCCTCTTTCCCGAATAATTGAGAACAAGTATTTTTTTCGGCTGATTCAATGTAAAAAAAAGAGAGAAGACATGGTTTGCTTATTCTGTTCCTTTGCTTTGTCTTCAACCAAACTCACAGTGTTGTTGCTGTTAAATGAAGAGCATTGTTTTGTTGTTGACCAAAACCCATTGACGGAAGGAAACGTAAGATCCGTTCTCTTTGCTTGGGGTCGTTTGTTCGAAGCTCGAAGTACCCTTCGTCCTTTTCACATTCCAACCCTGCCCCAACCTTGACCCCTTTGCCCCAAAAGGCCATAAGCCCGGAAGTTGGGGGGGCCCGTTTTCGCACCAAAAGAAACACCACTTGGTTCTGGCCACTCTTCCAAGAAGAGGATCAAAAGCGCGTGGCCTTTCGGGGAAACACTCTCAGATCTCGAAACAACCGCCCGCCTCTGGGGAAAGCAGCACGTGTTTTGGACATCGGGTGATACCCCTCCCAAAAACCCGAAAACACAGACCTCCCAAGACTTAAAACGATTCTTGATCAACGTGAAACGCCCTACACCTACTATCTATGCTTTCTTTTGTCTACCATCATTTGCGCGTGCGCAAAGATCTAAGATATCAACAAGACGTTGGCCCACATATTTGGGGGTTGTTCTATATTCCTGGCCCCCCAAATGAGCATGGAAAACATTGCCCATTTAGTTGCATGTATCGTTTGGCTGTTTCCCCAATGGTCCTCCCATGTACCACGGACCTTTGGATCAAATATCTTGGCGAAGGTGTGAGAAGAGCTGCGACACCCAGAACCTGCGGCTGAACCTGTCAGATGGGCGGTGGCCCCAGTCGATCAACAAACAAGGCAGCTTGAGGCTAGAACCGTCACTTCCATTTGCTTAAGGCCCCGGAGAAAAGGCGGCGTGTTGGACATAAGAAATGCTCCTTACCTCTTTACCTGTTACCCCTCCCCTAACCCCTCCCCAGGTATTGGGGGGGGTCCACGTACCACGCGGTGATTCGAAGACGCTTCACTAAATCTGTTCATTGTGCGGGCTTGCGCAACTCAGTTTGTCAAAAACATTGGGGTGTTCGATTCCCCCCGGGTGCGCTTTCGCATCCTTAGCAGCTCCAGCGGCACATCGCCAGCATCACCTGCATCATCCGCATCAGCGCCTGCCAAGGATGCGGATGATGCAAGTGATGCTGGGGATGTTGCCTATGCTGGTGAACCCCCCCCAGTTCCTTGTTGAGATCATTTATTTCCCCCCTTTTCCTTCTAAGGCCTTTTCCCACCCTCAGTTCTTCTCCCTTTTCCTCCCAAAGATCTTTCCCCCCCTTTCCTCCCTAAGTCCTTTTCCCTGAGTTCGTCTCCCTTTGCCTCCCTAAGATCTCTTCCCCCCTTTCCCGCTTAAGATCCTTGCCCCCGTTTCCCCCCTAAGGCCTTTTCCCCCCAAGATCTCCACCCTTCTCTTCCCAAAGTTTTTTCTCTCTTTCCCGATTGAGATCCTGTCCCCCGATTGCCCCTTAGGGCCTGTTCCCCCCGAGAAAGATTTCCCTTTTCCTCCCAAAGATCTTTTCCCCCCTTTCCCCCTTAAGGCATTTTTTCCCCAGATCTTCTCCCTTTCCTCCCTGAGATCTTTCCCCCCCTTTCGCTGTTGAGATCCTTTCCCCCTTTCCCCCCTTCATTTCCAGATCTTAGGGAGGAAAGGCAGAAGATCTGGGGCAAAAAGGCCTTAGGGGGGAAAGGGGAGAAATGATCTCAACAGGGCAAGGGGTGGAAAAGATCTTCGGGAGGAAAGGGAGAAGATCTGGGGAAAAAAGGCCAACAGGGAAAGGGGGGAAAAGATCTTAGGAAGGAAAAGCGAGAAGCTCTCAGGGGGGGAAAGGCCTTGGGAGGGAAAGGGGGGAAAGGATCTCAACAGGGAAAGGGTGGGAAAGATCTTAGGGAGGAAAGGGGGGGGGGAAGATCTTAGGGAGGAACTCCCTAAGATCTTCCCCCCCTTTCCTCCTTAAGATCTTTCCCACCCTTTCCCTGTTGAGATCCTTTCCCCCCTTTCCCTCCCAAGGCCTTTCCCCCCCCCCATGAGAGCTTCTCCCTGTTCCTTCCTAAGATCTTTTCCCCCCTTTCCCTGTTGGGCTTCCCCCCCTAAGTCCTTTTCTCCCAGATCTTCTCCCTTTCCTCCCTAAGATCTTCCCCCCCCCCTTTCCTTCCTAAGATTGTTTCCCCCCTTTCCCTGTTGAGATCCTTCCCACCCTTTCCCCCTGAGGCCTTTCCCCCCCTGAGAGCTTCTCCTTCCTTAGATCTTTCCCCCCTGTCCCTGTTGGCCTTTTTTCCCCCAGATCTTCTCCCTTTCCTCCCTAAGATCTTTTCCACCCCTTTCCCTGTTGAGATCATTTCTCCCCTTTCCCCCCTAAGGCCTTTGCCCCCAGATCTTCTCCCTTTCCTCCCTAAGATCTTTCCCCCCTTTCCTTGTTGAGATCCTTTCCCGCCCTTTCCCCCCTAAAGCGTTTTCCCCCCCAAGATCTTCTCCCTTTTCCTCCCTAAGATCCTTTGCCCCCTTTCCCTGTTGAGATCCTTTCCCCCCTTTCCCCCCTAAGGCCTTCCCCCCCCTGAGATCTTCTCCCTTGTCCTCCCCAAGATCTTTTCCCCCGAGATCTTCTCCCTTTTCCTCCCTAGGATCTTCTCCCACCTTTCCCTGTTGAGCTCCTTTCCCCCTTTTCCCCCTAAGGCCTTTTCAGATCTTCTCCCTTTTCCTCCCTAAGATCCTTTGCCCCCTGTCCCTGTTGAGATCCTTTCCCCCTTTCCCCCCTAAGGCCTTTTCCCTGCCTGGGACCTTCTCCCTTTTTCACTGAGATCTTTCCCCCCCTTTCCCTGTTGAGATCCTTTCCCCTCTTTCCCCCCTACGGCCTTTCCCCCCGCTGAGATCTTCTTCCTATTCCTCCTTAAGATCCTTTGCCCCCTTTCCCTGTTGAGATCCTTTCCCCCCTTCCCTTTAAGGCCTTTCCAGATCTTCTCCCTTTCCTTCCTAAGATTGTTTCCCCCCTTTCCCTGTTGAGATCCTTCCCACCCTTTCCCCCCTCAGGCCTTTCCCCCCCCTGAGAGCTTCTCCCTTTTCCTTCCTTAGGTCTTTCCCCCCTTTCCCTGTTGGCCTTTTTTCTCCCAGATCTTCTCCCTTTCCGCCCTAAGATCTTTTCCACCCCTTTCCCTGTTGAGATCATTTCTCCCCTTTCCCCCCTAAGGCCTTTGTCCCCAGATCTTCTCCCTTTCCTCCCTAAGATCTTCCCCCCCCCCCCCGCTGAGATCCTTTTCCCCCTTTCCCCCCTAAGGCCTTTCCCCCCCCTGAGAGCTTCTCCCTTTTCCTTCCTAAATCTTTTCCCCCCTTTCCCTGTTGGGCTTTCCCCCCTAAGTCCTTTTCTCCCAGATCTTCTCCCTGAAAGGGAGACGATCTGGGAGATCTTAGGGAGGCAAAGGGAGAAGATCTCAGGGGGGAAAAGGCCTTAGGGGGGAAAGGGGGGAAAGGATCTCAACAGGGAGAGGGGTGAAAACATCTTAGGGAGGAAAAGGGAAAAACACAGAGGGAGAAAAGGCCTTCGGGCGGAAAGGGGGAATGGATCTCAACAAAGAAAGGGGGGCAAAAATCTCAGAGGGGAAGGGGGCAAGGGGACAATTCCAAAGGGACGCAAATAAGAAAGCAGGCCTGTAATGTCGGCGGCCTGAGCCGGAGGCACTAAAATAATGTCCAGTAGTGAAATCGATTCCCTTTAAGACCAAGGGACAATAAAGAAAATAACCCACTACTCATTTATACTGTACCGCCCTGACAGTAATGTTTTAAGCCCGCCTGAGGCTGCTAACAACCTAAGAAGATCAACCCCCGCCCCAAACTGAACACGATTTCGAGGGCGAACCCGGGATTTCGGCCAACTGCCGAGCGGCCCACTCTCGCACCAAAGGTTCGATCAAGCGCTCGCCTGGCGGGAAAGATCGCGCGGCGAAATGCCCAAATGGGGGGGGGGGAGGGGGCTCGTCTTTTTTGCTTCTTTTGTGTGTTTGTGTTTTGTTTTTTTGGGGGGCGGGGGCACCTTTTCTGTGAGTGTGTAAACAAAAAGGACAACTCCACTGTTCTGTGGGTTGCTCAAAAAAACACACCCACATGCACCTTCGGGGGCGAAAGGAATCGTGATCCGAACAGCATCAGTTCCTTCAAAAGGATTCCCGACCAATCTTATGGGACAAAGAAATAACTCCAGGCTCCCCCAAGCAGAGCAGGAACGCAGCTCGTTGGAGTTTCTTCAAATATGTTCAGATCTTGTTTCACGTTTAGTCAACCATAAAATACACCACATGTACATATATATATATATATATGTGTGTGTACATATATATATATATGCCGAAATTTGACAAAAGGCAGGTTTGGGGAGAGGTAGCTTGTATGTATATATATATATGTATATATATATATATGTATAAATATATATATATACATACACGTATATAATACATATATAGGTACCGGCCGAGACCCTCCGTATTGAAATCCAAGCGGCAGAGCAGGAAGGCCAGGTTGGAGCCCATAGTCACCATGGGACCCTCGCGGCCCACGGGGAAGCCGGCAGCGTTGGCCAGCACGTTGGTGCACGCACGCACGCCCAGCGTGCGCCGGCCTCGCTCGGGCGGGAACTCTGGGCAACGATTTTGGTTTTACCAAAAAAAACATCAAATTTGACATTGTTTTTGTATTTGTTGCTTTTTAAACACATTGTTGGTCATTCTTCAAAAAAAACTTTAAAAAACAAAAAACACTTTAGGGAAGCGAACATATTTTTCTAGGGGAAGCTTCCTTTTCCATCATGGGCCTATCGATCCCTTTCTTGCCATGCTTCCGTTCGTTCCGATTAAGGACCTCTCCTTCCAGAGATCCCTTTCGTTTCAGCCATCAAAACACATTCTGGCTTCGAAAAGAAGGAGGGTGGAAAAGAATGGGGAGTCAACTCCCCTAGAGATTTCTTCGATTTGTTCCGGCAACCCGAACATTTTTGAGAGTTGGACAATTCCTCCCAAGTCGGAACTGACAATTCCTCCCCAGCAGAAGTGGTGTCCACCAGTCCCACACCAAGCGCCGGTCGCGCAGATCGCAGATCCCGGGCCCTAGGATGCTCTAGGGAAGGCTCAGAACTGGGGAAAAAGTTTGTGGCCCTGGCAGTTGCGACCTTCTTTTTTTTTCCGGTGGGAAGCCAGGCCAAAAGAGTTGAGAAGAGTTGGCACTAAACCGAAGAACCCTCTAAGAGAAACGGCTCTTGGAAGGGTTTGAATGAACTTGGGGTGTAGAGGACCCGAATTGTGTCTCTTAAGAGAGAAGTGCCACCCAATTGCTTTTCCCTTTTGGTCCGGGTCGTGAGGTGATTGTGTCGAAAGGCGTTTGTGTTGTTTTCGGGGAAGGTCTTTGTGAGGGGCGTGGGCTTTTCGGACTGAGGTGTGTGGTTGGGAGAGGTATTTGGGTTTGGACCGGAGGTACTTTGTTGTTTCTCGTTTCTTGCGCTTGTTCTGGGCACTGAGGGGTTGCTTTGTTGAGGAGGTCTTTGTCTTCGGGGGGAGGTTCGTGGGTTTTTTTTGGGGACGGCTGTGCGCGGTTCAGCGCTTTGGCCGGCTCGGGGAAAGAGAACTCTCCCAACTCCCAACGCCTTCAGAAGTCTCCGAAGCTCTGAAGGAACCTTCTCAGGAACTCAAAAGGGGGTTTAAAAAAAAAAAAACTTTTTCGGAACCATCCCACTGAATGCAGGCTGGGTGCTGTAGGGAGCCTTACAGGAAAACCACCTGTTGGATAGGGGCCATTCCATTTCTGATTCCCTGCCTAACGGATCTATGGCTGTGGGTCAAACCCTGTCCTGAACATAAAAAATGGTGGTACCTGGGTGTTCATCCGCCCCAAAATGGAGAAATGCATAGGTTATGACCCATGGCATTTTCTTGATCTCATTCACTCTCGACATGCTTCCGAAAATTCTTCCGGCTGGGCGCTGTAGAGATTCGGCATGGCACCGCCGTTGAGAAAGGCTTTGTTCTCCGGGATACCACTCCCACCACATGCAGGGGCGCACAGCCTCGCAGGTCCACATGGGTTTTTCAAAATCCAAAAAAAGGTTAGCCCCCAGTGAACATCCGATTCAAGCCAAGCACTAAAACAGGTTCTAAAATAGGTGGTGCACCGAAAACCCTAAAATGGGATCCCATTACGGTTTTGACCCAGGGCCACATCTTTTTTAAAGACAGCCCCATCTCGAGCTGCACCAAATCCTTGCCATGGAGCCAATGCAAGCATGGGAACAGCGGTTCCTGACAAGCACGATGGGAAATCAACTGCGGAATCCATGGATTCCTTCACCACTTTCTCCCTCCAAGGTGTTGGCTCTCTTTGAGAGACCCCACAGCCTCCGCAACAACGCCTTGTCAGGCAATAGCTGATTCAAGGGCGCCGCGATGCCCTTGAAAGTTGCCTGTTCATTGGTTGCGAACCCAGGATGCACCAAGCAGAATTGGCAGTCTCAAAGCTGATTGTTAGAATCCTACGGATCCCTGAACGCATCCAAGAGCTTCAAGAAAGGAGCCGTGCATCCATTTCCCCCGCTTGAGGGAAAATGGAAATCCTTTTTCTGTGCCGAAGCTTGGCTGATTCCCATGCCCATCTGCAAGTCACTTCAAGGTAGACTTTTTTGGCCACAAAGAGCAAGTCGCAACCCGAAACAAAAGTTGTCGAACACACGGAAAGTTGTTCAAAGAGCAGAATCTGGAAAAACAAACAACAAACTCTTGTAGAAAGTGGTAGAACCCAAAAACAGCTTTCAGGTTTTTCGGCCTACCCTCCCTGACCCCCCCCCCCCTCCGAGCGGCTGTATGAGGCAAACTCCGCAGAGCGCGTATGCAGTGGACACGCCCATCAAGGCCAGGATGCCGATCAGAGCACCTCCCAAATGGGAAAACACCGGAGCTTAAACACCGGGGACTTCCCTTTAAAAGTGGCGATTTACTGGTGATTTTCCATTGAAATCCACCAATTTTGGAGGTTCCAAGGGACATGAGTCATAATCAACACCCCGGTATTAAAATGGTCCAAGGAAAGAACCATGCTTCAAGAATTTAGAAGGCGGATTTCCGCAGCTATTTCTGGTTGGGATCGTCCCTTACTAACCTTCATCTACCCGGGTTTTGATTGTGACTCAAATGGGAAAACACCGGGGGGTTAAACACAAAGGGAAACCCGGGGCCCTGAAAAACCAGGCTCTAAGAACCTGCTCACAAGGGGTGCTAGGGTTCGAAACAGCTGGGTTCCCCCTTCAACCCACCAGGAACGGTTCTTAGAAGGAACTTGGGTGATCACACTCAAGGAGTGGGGACGTGAAGGACATGGCCAAAGATGAAACCATGAAACCCAGGCTTTGTGTCATATCCATGGGATTTGGAGTTCGCGTTTTCCTGCCAGCCTCGTTCTCTCGGAAGTGTCGATTCCCTCATGTCCCCGCCCCAAATCGACGATCGGCGACACGACAAACGCGGACAGCGAACTTCAAATGGATCGACCAGTGCCAGCTTCTCCGCAGAATCAAAGAGCGTCAATCAACAGCTCGCAGGGGGCTGTTGATTTTACGAACCCCAGAGTGGAGGAAATTGCAGAGACGCCTGCCAAGAATGTTCACAACTGTGTGAAATTACTGAGAAGTCTGACTCGCCTAACGTTGACAGCACGCTTGCTCGGGACCCAGGCAAGCCAACAGCGGAATCCTTATCAAGCAGAGCAGCCAATGCAACACCTCCAACTTGCCTTTCTCGTTAATTGGCTACTAGGTCCTCCAGTAGAGAGGTTAGAAAAGGGGGCCAACTGTTTTTCTTATTTTCCTATTTTTGTAGGGGAACCGAATCTCCCCCCAAAAAAAGGGTGTAAAAACGGGCACCAATTGCTGGGGGACCTAGGCCATTACTATTGCCTGCCAAAAAGTTGTTGGATGCATGTTCAACCGTGGCAGGTCGAAGGCTTGGCACCGCAACCAAATCATCGAACCGGTTCGAAGAGAAGGGAATATGGGTGTGTTTCAAAATCGGTTCCTTTTGGTGGTCCTTTGGAACCATCCCAAAAAATAGCTGCCCTCACACACATACATACGTGTATTATGTATGTATGTATATGTTGGCATTCTCGAAAGTGAATTCAGCTGCCCGACCATTTTGCTGCGGTGGAAGCTGTGAGGTGTGTGGTTGGCTTCACGCCAATCTTTTCCAAAACATAGAGGATGAAAGCGGCTTGAGGACAGGAAAATGGGGTATGGCTCACAATTCAAGGTGCAAACATCGCAGGCTGGACATCTCCATAGTACTAACACATATACACATGTAGTCATCTTACCCCTATTTGACTGTTCAGGGCCATGGGCTTTCCAATCTTCGACCAAACTGCCTCAGCGATTGCCCCCAATCTAAACATAATTATTTATGTGTGATTCCGGCCCAAGGTTGGTGAGGCTAAACATGTTCTTTTCTTACAGCTGGGCCTGTTCCCAACCGACCCGCCACTTGGAACATGAAAAGCCTCAGTGGGTAACTGTCCGACTCAGCCCCCGCCAAAGTCTGCGATTGCCCTTTGGCTTCCCCGAACACCCACCGGTCCTTCCGTTAGCACGAGGGTACCTTCTTTTCCCTGTAGTCTACTTTAGTAGGGGAACCGCATCTCCCCCGAAAAAGAAACGGTTTTCAGGGCACCTCAGGGCCGAGCCCAACTTCTTGCCAGGCCCGAGGCCCACCCCCCGGGACCCCGGAACACGCAACCGGGACCCCCGCCTCCTTGGGCCATGGCCAGCTGCATGGAGTGGAACTTTAGGCGCACCAGGAACTGGATCACCAGGATCATGCCTAGGGAACCCGTGAATCTCCGGCTTTGGTTTTGGTTTTGGTTTTGGTTTTGGAATCTCCGTGGTGGTTTTTTGTTTCAAGGGAAACCCAACAAAAAACAAAAAATCGCATCCCTGGGGAAGCGAGGCTTAGGCGTGGCGCCGATTTTTGGCTGGGGGTTTCAAGGGAAACCCGAAGGGAAAACCACCAGAGTTCTGGGGCGGGCCTAGGGAACCCCGGGGCATGGATCTCCAGTTTTTGGATGGGGTTTCAAGGGAAATTCGACAGGAAAACCAGCATGTTTGAGGGAACCAGACTTAGGCGTGGCTCCTTTTTGTCTTTTTGGTTTAAAGGGAAGTCCAAAAGGAAGAAAACCGTCATGTTTGTTTGGGGGGGTTGGCAGGTTTAAAGGGAAACCCGAAAGGACCACCATGTTGGTTTGGGTTGCGTGGGGGGACACACTGACTTCCAGCAAATGGGGTTGTTCTTGGGCCGGGGGCTGTTTAGCTTGTTTTGAGGGGGGGGAGGGGGTGTGTAGTGTTTGTGCAATAATGGAATAAGAGGGGCGGGGGGGCTGATGGGATGTGTAAGCAAATCTGGACCTGATAGGAGTCAACTATGCGAATTGTTTTAGCTCCTTGCATTTATCAACCAGCCCGTAACCATCAAATCACAAACCCAACCAGTTGCGCCAGCTCCAAGTTTTCAGCTTGCTACCACACATGTATAAATCCCAAGCTTACATGTTTATTTCTCACCTTGCTGATGTTCATGGGCGTTCCCCCGAAAATGGCTCTAACACCTGAGGGCGGTTGGGCAGGCGGTGGCTGGGTGGTTGGCTGTGGTGGGTGGCAGTCCGGGGGTGGTTCTTTCTGCGGATGCTCACCAAACACGAAAAAGCTCGCTTCATTTAAAGCAAACTAGTGAGGCAAAACAAACAAGCATAACACAAATCCTCGAGAAACCGAAAGAAGATGCTTGGCAAAACCAAAACTTTGCCGATAAGTTCTGTGTTTTCGGTGTTTTCTCGGGTTTGTTTGGTTCTGCATTATCCCTCAAAATCACAATGTCCCAGTCGGGCTTGTTTCCTCCGAATACTCAAGAAACAGCAAAACAACGCGTTGGTTCTGCTGTTCTTGGAGAGGTTTCTAATGCAAACAAAAAGTGAGTGGAAAAATAAAGCAAACACCTCGAGAAAACCAACAACAGCTTCTGGCACAACCAATCCTTCTCCTCTAACAATGCTTTGTCTGTTGCGTTGTTTTAGCTCTGGTGTTTGCGTAGTCAAGTTCATTGCTGCAAAAACTAGAGGATTCATGTTTTTGTTTTTCTCCGGCGGAAATTAGCACACCCAACCAAGGCGACAACAAGGCATGCAAAAAAAGGCCCGTAAGGTTCTCTGTTCTCACTTCTTTGTAGCTTCAAACAAGCAACATGCAAAACAGTGTGTTTTGCACATCTCCGTGCAAATCCTTGGCCACTCATCACGAAAGCAGAAGTAGACTGAAGGTAGACTGAAGGTAGCTCATGGGGCCCTCACAAAGGGGTGCACAAAAACATGTTTGTTTAGATTCAGTTTCACGTTTAGTCTCCCCTAAAGTATAACTCAAGTTTGGAGGCCCCAGACATGCTGAATTTTTCCCACGCTTGATCAGCAAAAACCTGCTTTCACAATCAACCGAAAACTATCTGACGCATCAAGAAACAGCTTTCTGTGAGCCATGTCTGGGCATGTTCACAAAGCTGTACTCAATCAACCAACCAACCAACCAACCAACCAATCGACCGACCAAGCAAGGAACCAACCAATCAAGCAAGCAAGCAGCCATTCGAATCAGGTATGTATGCCTCAACAAGCCCGCCAAACGAAAGGGGAAAACCGCTGCGTTTGAAAAACATAGTTTACCAAACAACAAACAAACAAACAAACCAACCAACCAACCAACCAACCAACCAACCAACCAACCAACCAACCAAACCTGCAGGAAGGCCGTTCTTGTGCGACCATCCGACAGGAGCAGAAAACGGCGACCAAACTCTCACATATCAAATTCTTGCCTGAGGTGGATACGTTCATTGTTGCTGTCCAGAATCGTGGAGACTTGTCAATCACCATTAAAAGTGGAATCAACCTGAAGTTTGGGGAGGGCCTCCTAGATGTATTTAAATTTGAAACAGACATTAAAGTTCAACTCTTGCCTACTTCAAGTCGATCAAACTCAAAATTAGCATTCTAACCCCACCGGGAAGGGTTAAACTGCGCCAATATGACTTCTTTAGTAGCGCAATGCAAAATCGGGATAGCGACGCGGAGGGGAGGGGAGGGGAGGGGAGGGGAGAGGAGAGGAGAGGAGAGGAGATGAGAGGAGAGCAGGGGGAATTAGCAGAAGATCCGATTGAACTGATGTTCTCTCAAAGCAAAGAAAGCATTTCTGCCGTTGCACAAACCAGGGAGGCCGCACAAGAAAGCGAGTAGCCTGGCCTTGGGGCAACCCATTTTTGGCCTCCGTCTGATTGCTACCGTGGTCAAAACGTCTTACGTCGAAGGCCACCCCTTAGGGTCGCTGTCTCGATCTTGGAGTGGGCTGGGCTGGTGGACTGGACTGAGGGACTGGTTTTCAGGCTGGGTTGGTGGAAGCTGACTGGGAGACGGACTGGGAGAGTGGACTGGGAGACCGAACGGCTCCACGAGAAAAGCTTCTCCGGAAAAATTAGACACACGGCCGAATGGCCGAACAACATCGGTCAATGCGGTTGCGCTTGCTTTTCCTTTTCCAAGAGGCATGGCGGCCCCGAGGGTGGAGTTGGGGTGGATGGGGTGGTTGGTGAGTTGAGTTGGAGTTGAGTTGAGTGGCGTGAGTTGAGTTGAGCTGAGTCGGGGTGGGTGGGTGGGGTGGGGTGGGGCGGGGCGGGGCGGGGTGGGGTGGGTGGGTGGGGGCGTGTTGTTGCTTCGTGTGCACCTGCAGGAAAACAAAGGTTCTTGAGGAATAGTGCAGAGCAGACAACTGATGGAACACCAAACAAAATCGAGAAACCTGACAATACAAAACTTTGGTTTCTTGAGGATGTGTGTTGTGCCTTTGTTTTGGCTCACTGAGACAATTCATGATCCATCTATGCTCATTTCCGCATACCTGCCTCAGCGTTTGCTTCTCCCAACACGGGCGTGCACAAATCCCTTTAGACAAGCAAAAAATGCTTTTGTAAACGGGGTCTGCGCCCTTCCGTGTGTACTGGAGGAATGGCTCAGGATTTCAACCGAGATCTTAGCTATGCTCCTGTCTGTCCATTTCAGCCCACCGGCCAAGTGGCCGAAGTTCATGAGGGCCACCCCCAGAGAGGTAAGGAGAGTGATCCCTCAGCCAGCAGACACATGTCGCGGATCGCAATCCCGATCGAGTCCGTTGCGTGGTTGCTCTTGTTTGTGGCTTTGTCGCATGCTGGGGGGGGGGGGGGACAAAAAGCAGAATCCCAAAGCAGCGAAAGCATTTTTTTCCGAATGCTAGTTATACAAAGGTTTGGATTCGATTAACGTATCCCTCAGGTTTCGCTGGAAGATTAGACTGGGTTCGAACGCGCCAAGCCTCTTCAGATGCGCCAAACAACGTGTTTAAGGTCACTGGCAATCTCAAGGAGTTTTGCATATATTCGTGGAACATGTGCAAACCAAACGAATACGAACGCTTCATATGAGGTCGCAAGCCAAGACTCCTATGGGCCATCATGGTTCCCTGAACCGTTTATCAACCTCAAAAGATGGATGACCATGCATGTCCTTTTAGGGCAAATCGATGGTGCGGAGGGCCCTGGTAGATGAGGAATGAACCACCAGGTAAACCAGGAATCGAAACCCATCTACTTTTCGACCGTTAAACAACCAAAAAGGACACCTACTGTGGATGGACGAAATCCTGCACCACCTAAGAAACCCTGGAATGATGATTCCCCTGTAAATGCCAATGAACAATGGTTTCGCATGGTTGCCAAGTGGTGCAGGATTTCGTCCATCCACAGTATGTTGATGACCCCCATGAAGAAAACAGCCGAAAAACGCACGAGGGTGCCTCGTCGTCTTTTCGAGGGTGCCCCGTCCCAAAACTGGCCCATCTTGGAAGCCGCGGCCTGAGCGAGCGCCAGGTTTTTTTGGGGATCTATGCTCAGTTGTTCAGTAACCCTGGAAAAAAAGGGAACCCATTCTTTTTTGGGCTTGGACCATTTTAGTGGGGCCACCAAAAAAAATGGGAAAAAGGAGCCACCGAACAACTGAGTATGGTTTTTGTTGGAGATCTATGGGTGGAACTTGACACATCCAAACTCGATCCAGCGTCCTGGGAGGGAAACGACTCAAGGACACCCTGGGCAGGTTTGAAACTTCTTGCGGGCGCGGCTCCGGCAGGTTTGCTCGCTTTTGTAAGGTATTTCCCCGCACTGGGGACTAGACTTCATCTAGCCAAGTCTTGCTTGTGCATGTGTGGTTCAATTGGGACTCAACAAAGACAGACCCAATCCGCGCCAAGTCTCCCCACATCACCTTCCAAGGCAATCGGTGCGTCTGCGGCCCATGCACCGTGCTGCCGATCACCGACTGCAGCATCTGGCGCCGAAAGCCACAAGCCAAAACACTCGCGGAAGCAAGCCTTCCAAAATATGCCCCCCCCCCCTGCAAAAAGTTGTTTATTTTTTCACTTTTTGGGGGTTTAGTGGAAAACCAAATCCTTGATTTCCCAAACACTTAAAGTCTAAAGATCCGACCCAATAGCAGTCAAGATGCACCACGAGCAAGTACAAAAGAAAAGGTGAAATAAGCTGTTGCCATGGTCATGACCATGTTTGTTTGAAACTGCCCCAACCCCCCTTCCACGTGTTGGGCTGAGCAACAGCGCTGGGTTCTCCATGATTACGCTAGAGTTACTGGTTCGCAAACAATAAACAAGGCCTCAGCGTCCGTTTGTTCAGAAAGGTTTGTTCAGATGGAATGGTTTTCTGATACCACTGGTCCGAGTTTGTTCAGTTGGTGTCTCTTCAGCTCCCCTAACGCGGAAGGTGCCCGAAACACAAAATTCGGGGTGGAGGTCGGGAAGGGAGGGGGGGGGGTCAACTGAGCGGATGAGCTGGCGGATGCCCGCGCAGCTCTTTGCTCCCGAGCTCTTCTGGGCGCGTCGTTTCTCTTTTTGGAGGGTACTTTTTTGAGCGAAACTTGCGATCGGTGCGAGAGATGCAGGGTCTCTGAGAAATGGAATGACCCCTAACCATCCAACTGATGGCTTCGTTTCGATTCGGGGCAAGTAAAGAACACCATCGTCACGATCCCAAATCACGTCCACGTCTTCGATTGCAACGGCGCCAGCTCCAAGACCGAGACAAACACTTCTCCTACCAAAGGCAGAAACACGCATGCCAGAAGCCTTCCTTCCTGAAATGCTATGGGCTATGGTCCTCCCGGACCGTGACGCCTTTTCTGAGCAAAGTCCACCGGCGCCAGTTGGAATGGACGAAACACTTTGGAAACGGGGACAAACCACCTACCAAGCGCTAAACAATTTGTGTCCACAGTCGCTGATCAGACCTTGGTAGCCACACCTTGTGCGCATGTTTCTTTTGGAACAACCCACGTCGTTCACCAACAACGCCTGAAGAAATGAGGGTAGAATAAGGGTACCCTGTTTGCTGTAATCTATTTTAGTAAGGGAACCCTCCCCCAAAAAAAAAGTTGGTAAAAGGGTACTAATTTCTGGGGGACCTAGTGAGACCACCGACCCGTTGCCTTTTTCGGCGCTGTTTGCTGGGCGTCTTGCGCGTTACTTGGCTGGGAAGATCCCGCCCAAAGCCCTGCCTGCGGCCGCCATGTGAGCGACATGCGCCTTCACCTGAACGGGGAGCTGCTTCGGTCTCAGGGCAGAAAAACAAGTGCACAACAAACCCCAGACAGTGTAAACGGGGGCAATAGTCTAACACAAACACAAGGTGTTAAGCTGGATAGTCTACACCCGAAGTTTTAGGCTCTTCAAGGCAAAATGAACACCTTAACACTTTAGAGGTGCTTGAGGAGTCTTTTTGTGGCCCCTGAAATGCGGGAATGCGTCCTTCATAAGAATGCAAAAAAAACTGCGCCATTTGCTGAACGACGGGCCCCCTAAGACAAGTCCTGAGTTTGGAACTCACCAGCTTGATTGCAAGCATCAAATATGATCCCCTGCTTCACGTCAGAGACAGAACCGTCAAAACATGTTTACGTGGCAAAAACGGTCCTCAGATCTGCTAAAAGCTTAATTTTTAGTGGGGTAAATAAAGAAAATCTCCCACTGAACTAAAAAGCAAAAAGGCTAAGGAACCGGATGGCTGGGAGCCTTCGATTGTCACTTTGAGAGGCCAGCAGACTGGCGACGGGCTTGTCATTTTCCTAGGCTTGGGCTGCGTGTTTTCCCTTTCGGCAGGCGGCTAAATGGCACTTGGTAGCAAAATGCACCAGTTTTTTTCACTGGCGCAGTCAACAGCTTTCAACACCAGAAGCTTTCGCTAAGAATCTGTTTAGGATTTGGGCTTCTTTGGGGTGGGTTTACGGTTGGTTTAGGCTGGCTGAAGTTTAGGGTTGGTTTAGTGCTGGTTAAGGGTGGGATTAAGACTAGAGAAGGGTTCGTGGGCTTGCTTAGGGTATGGTTGGCGTTACATTTGCTGGTTTTGGGACTGTTTAGTGGCCAAGCCCAACGCAAAAGCGAAGAAATTGTATGTCCCCTTTTCCCGTGGCGGGGGTTGTTCTTAGACTACTAGGAAGGGTACCTTCCTTTCCATTCTTTCCAGGAATCCTTCTTTCTGGAGAGCCTTCAACAGCCCGGAAAGAAGGATGAGTTTTTTCTTTTTAAGAACAATGGTTTAAAAGAATGGGGAATCAACCCCTACTGTAGAACTATCGAAAACTCAGAAAGCATAGGCTGGAAAGGCTCTGACCTTCTAGATCGGACATGGTTTCCTCTTGGAGGGTATGCCAAATCAATGCCAGAGAGGAAAAGTCAAACGCACCATCCTTCAAGTGCGACTCTTAATCCTGCCCTTGGTTTACAAATGTGTTGTTTTTGTTTTCCCCGTTTTTTGTTTTTTCCTTTTTTGATTTCAGACTAGGGGACAAGGATTGGACTTCCGACCTCTTGGAAGAGCCCGCGATCTCACCCGAAGCCAGTGAGGGGTAGGATGATATGCGACTTTTAGCCTTGGTTTCCATTCCTTTGGTCTCCCAAAACAAAAAGAAAAAAGTGTGACCCCGTAAAAAGAGGTCCGGAACCGTTGCAGCTCGAACCGGTCCGAAAGATTAGAAAAAAGAGCTGGTGTCCACACGATAAAGAGCAAAAAACAGCGTGATCCTAAAACTCAAAGATCCGGATGTCCACTAAAACACCCAAAGGTAGAAAGCCGGTTTCCTTTCCTCCTTGAATCAGCAACCAATCTTCTACGCAGCATTTTTTCGGGATTTGTAGCTGTTTATTTTTGCTCTCTTGACTTTGTTGCTTTTGCAGTGGTTTTTGGAAGCTTTGGCTTCCAAACCAACTCTAAACCCCTACCCTGTGCAAAGCCCGATTCCCAAACCTAACCCACCCCAAACCTGCCCAGAACAACCATAATCACTCCTTGAGCCAACCCTAAACCTGCCCTACATCCACTGCAAGAACTAGCCCCTCACCCTGAACCAACCCACCCTAAGCCCAACCCTAAGCCCAACCCTAAGCCCAACCCTAAGCCCAACCCTAAGCCCAACCCTAAACCAACCCTAAACAAATCCCAAAACCCTAAACCACAACCTAAATCCCAGAACGCCCAGCCTAAATCAAAACTAAACCAGTCCAACCCAAATTTAGCCCTAAGCAAGCCCCCTAAACTCACCTTAAACGGGTTGCTTGGGGATTGTTTTCGGGTTTGCTTCGGGTTGGTTTAGTGTTTGCTTAGGGTTTGTTCAGGTTTGGCTTAGGATACGAGGCAACAAAACAGAAACAACCCCCAAGCAGTCTTTGGACTGCAATCTGCAGGCCAGCTTGAAACTGCTTGCTGCTGCATCCTGGCACAGAGTTGGATTTTTGGCCAACACTTTTGATGTCTAGCTCGCGAGGCTCGCGCCCCTTGCAGCACGAGACTAGGGCGATGTCCACGCGAGCCAGAGCTCCAGCATCTCGAGCGCTTGCAAGTTTCTTTGGCTGAGGTGGGTCGCACCATGAGCTCAGCGTGACTCGCGCGAAATCGTGCGCGAGCAAGCCCCGGAGCCACCATAGACAGGTAGATGCAAAGCTGCGGGGTGGACTGTCCCAGCTTCGGCGGAGGCAGGTCGCAGTTTCCAAAAGGGCCAGGCGGCTGTAAGAATCTTGCCTTGCTTGTCACGAGCTAGAAATCAA